TCACACTCACACACCTCATTCACTCACACACCATTCACTCAGACTCACACATCATATACTCACACACACACCTCATTCACTCACACACCATTCACTCAGACTCACACATCATATACTCACACACACACCTCATTCACTCACACACCATTCACTCAGACTCACACACCATTCACTCAGACTCACACATCATATACTCACACACCATTCACTCACACACCATTCACTCACACTCACACACCATTCACTCACACTCACACGTCATACACTCACACACCATTCACACACTCACACACCATTCACTCACACACACACCTCATTCACTCACACACCATTCACTCACACTCACACACCATTCACTCACACACACACCTCATTCACTCACACTCACACACCATTCACTCAGACTCACACATCATATACTCACACACCATTCACTCACACACCATTCACTCACACTCACACATCATACACTCACACACCATACACTCCGTAAGTGGTTATAATAGAAATTACTCACCTCTGTACACGTTTTATCATCTGGAAATATGGATGTGTTCAACTGTAATGTTTCACCACTGATTAGCAACTAAAACCAATTTTACATTTCCAAATAATTAAATATGGCTGGATACACAAATGTGTTCACCCACTTGAACTTGCGTTTACGGTCTTTTTCAGAAATGTACAGACGTGAATCGTCTACCATAGATATCGACTAGCTTTGCACATGACATTTTTTCCCATGATACTTTGCAAAAGGTTCGATGGAGCCTGCAGTTGGATGTATTTTCATTGTCTTCCGCCTACTGTCTATTAGATTGGATTCGACTCCAAAACTTCGCTGTGGCTTTCGACTGAACACTTCCAGTCACTGTCTTCTGGAAGATGATCCATACCCAGACCAAAGCAATTTCTCCTCTCAGGTTTCCTGGTACTTTCTTGAATGTCTAGCCTTCCGCTATCACAAGTCTTCTGTGGCCCAGTGACGTTTAATACGGCGGTGGTGTTTACCCCCTGTGCTAATGACAGCACTTAGCACTGATGATACAAATGCTAATTTTGCTCTGGACTATAAGATTTTCTTATTCTTATGGTCTCAAAGTCCCCCAGATGCTTTCTGGCAAACTTCAGTTTATTTTTGTTTTCTTTCTAAAAGCCCTGATTACTTGAAGATGTCCAGTTACACACAGTTTCCTGCTCATGCTGTATGATTCTGCTCCGCGTGCAGCTGTGCTGAGTAATTGAATAGGTACCAGTATATGAACAAGGACACACTCCGTTGGTGACACGAGACCCTGTGTCACATCAGCAATTGAAATTGAAGTTTTGAAGTTTGTATGAAGCACAACAGTGAGATTATTCTCACAAACACCAATGGCTTTAGCGCATGGTGCTTTCAGGTGTTTATACAGAGGAGCGTAATGTTATGTGAGACATTAGCCAATCTGTCCTCAGTGCCATAAAGGGATTCCTTGCTTCCACATGATCTTGGGGGTCGTTAAATTATAATTGCAAGCTCTACAAATCCATATATCAGGATATAAAATATGTGTTAAAGGTGCAGGATTGCTGTCAAAGCTAACAAGGGTTGACAAAAATGCACATAACCCTTTCATAAGCTAAATAAGGAGTAGCATTAATGACATGTAAATCCCTTTGTTAAACATTTTCACTTGAAGGATTCTATTTGGTTTCGGTGCTTTAATTCCAACTTTTTAATGCTCTAAAATGTTGTTAGTGGGAATCCGTGTACATGAGAGACAGACTCATGTAACAACTGGATTATAGTATGACGGTATTAATGAACAAACAATTTAAGGAAAGCATATTTGACGATGACATTTTTATACAATTAGTAAAGCAAGAAGTAGCATGACAATAATGATGCTACAGAATTCCAGGAGAATTCCATGTTTACGGTTTAGTGAATGATGCTATGGGACTCCAGGGGAATTCCATGTTTAAAAAGTGAACAACACTGCAAAATTCGAAGGTAATTCCATGCTTAATGCTTAGGGAATGATGCTACAGAATTCCAGGAAAAATGTTGAATGACGGGGTGGTGCAGTGGTTAGCGTTGCTGGGTTCTGGGTCCGGTCCCGGGTCCGGTCCCGGTCCCTTTCTGCGTGGAGTTCGCATGCTCTCCCCGTGTTCATGTGGGTTTTTGCCGGGTCTCTGGTTTCCTCCCACGGTCCAAAAGCACGCAGGATAGGTTGATTAGTGAGTCTAAATTGGCCCTGTAATTGTTTATGTGTGGCCCTGCGGTGTGTTTCCGACCGCCCAGGATTGGCTCCTGCCTGCGCCCATTGTTCCCGGGATAGGCTCCGGTCCCCCCCACGACCCTGGTTGGGGTTTCAGAAAATGGATGGATGGATGTTGAGTGACTGAAAATGATTAATGCATCACATACGTGTGTTATTACATAACATCCTGGAAGAGCACTCTATTTGAAGTGTGGACCCCCCCCACCCAGGTGCCCCCAGGGCAGGGGGGTCCATGACGCTGGCAGAATCCCCTGGTTATTGCACAAGGTACTATCAAAGGTGGCCTTTCATCTTGGGAAAGGTGGGGGGGGGCAGACTCAATTCGGAGGCAAGCTGGAGCTGTGGGGGCCTTTCAATTATGCAGAGAGCAGAGTCTCCTGTGCCAGACTCGCCCTGCTCCCGACTC